ATGTTGTTAAACTGACAGCTAATCAGAATGAATACATCTCTATTTAGTGTTTGTATTCTGTGTCACTGCTGCAAAATTTGACTTTGAAATTCACACATGTCACTTGATATTAAAGCTGTTTACATTATTTTGATTAAAGTTGTATTATCAACAAAATGTTGGTTGCAGCCTTTGGTAAATTGCATAATATATCTGCATCAGAAGTTTGTTTTGACAATTGACGAACATCTACGAACTTTTGTCATAGAACATTAATGTATCCTATGTTGTTGTATTTAGGACACTTCCATAACATAATTTAAACACCAGTGCATGACAGGATTTATTGTAGTGAAGAAAAATAATAATTTAGTTGATAAATAGTGCAATGTCGGGTTTAGATCAGTTAACTCATGAATGTTGTAACTTTCAAATTTGATTCATGAACAAGTTACTCAAAATTAAAAGGACTTTCAACTACATTGTTCTGACAATACAACTTCAAGAATAAACTTGTATACAAAAATTGCTCAAAATTTGTGTGACCAAGTCCTCTCTCTGTATATCTATTTGTGTGACCAAGTCCTCTCTCTTTATATCTATTTGTGTGACCAAGTCCTCTCTCTGTATATCTATTTGTGTGACCAAGTCCTCTCTCTGTATATCTATTTGTGTGACCAAGTCCTCTCTCTGTATATCTATTTGTGTGACCAAGTCCTCTCTCTGTATATCTATTTTTTTTAGAATTTATTGAGAGTTGTAGAGGTGTGGATGGATGAATATAAGAAGTATTTCTACAAAAGACGACCTCACCTCAAAGGTCAAGACTTTGGTGATATCAGTGCTCAGCTAGCACTAAAAAAAAAATTAAACTGTAAAAGTTTTAAATGGTTTCTTGAGGAAGTAGGACCAGATATTTTGAAGTATTACCCACCAGAGGAGCCAGAACCTGCAGCATGGGGAGCGGTGAGTTTTTTTTTAAATATAATTGACTTTTGTCTTGATTTTCCAGTTACTAAAAACAGAGCTGACTTAACTATAGTATGTATTTCAGTTCTTGAAATAGATCGTGCAGCCAAATCTGTGTATGGGTATAGCCCAACTACATTACTCTAGACACTAATTTGTGATAGTACCATAAGAATCCTAATATAAACCGCATATATACGTAATAGTAACCGCACCCCCAATTCAGAAAACATGAAAAGAGTACCTATTACTAACCACACCCCAATTCAACAAGGCTATGACTGACTTCATTGTTTCAACCAGCTGATCTAAAATGGCATTGTTCATAATCCTATTCATTTATTTCAATGACATGCCCAAAAAATATTCACACCTAATTAATTGTTCAGTGGTGATAAGGTGTCAGACACGCAATGAAACTGATTTTGTTCTGGCGACAACCTCTGTCAATACTCCTTATGAATACGTCTGTGTTTTGTGAATTGTTGACAATGAGCTGTTATCACTGTAAAAGTGTTAAATTCTACTCTTCGATGCCACGGTTTATCTTTCAATAAAAAATCATGTCGTTTCCCAATCAAAATCAAAACCAAAAGATCGCACTACAACATCGGTAAATCTCTTGCGTGTTGCGTTCACCATGAAATGACTTATGTTAATTTGAACACAAATTTTGATTAGTTACTGTAAAAGGGTTAATTATTCACTGGGTTTTAATTTTGCTTATTTCGCTGACTGGAAAATGAGCCAAATTAAAACCCAGTGAATATGTAAAATTTAGCATAGAACACATTATCTAAATGATAAAACCGTGAATTTAAAACCTAATGAATATGCCTGAGATGCTAAATCAGTGAAATTTAAACCCAGTGAAAATTAATAATTTTACAGTAATTAGCGACTTGACCTATCCGGTCAATAAACACAGTTTCAGGTCACTCGTTTGCATGGAAAAAACATGGCGGATATTGTATCGCATCATGCATTTACATGTGACAGAAATCATTCATAGCATCTATATATGGTAGTGATGAACTTTCAACCTTTCAACATCATGATGCCAAACTCACTCACACTGAGTGGTGCTTTGTGTTGATTAAAAAAATGTAACAATCTATGTGCATGGCTTGTTTTAAATCACTTTTTTCCTTACCACATGCCACATAGTTACATTATAATAGATAAATAAAAAAAGATAAACTAAATTAAAATATACTGGTAACACAATCATTTTTTATTTTCAGATTAAGAATGTTGCCAAGGATGTTTGTTTAGATGGTAGTCATGGCAATGAAGGGATGAGACTGAAAGCAAAAATGTGTCTAGCAACAAATGAGAGAGAAAGCAGTGATCAGGTTTGTGTATAATCTGAACACCTCTCTGATCTGAACACTTCAAACTAAACACCTAATCTGAATACCTGATTATTTTGAGCACTGTTTAGTCTGTTACATCTTCCTACATTCTATATAGACCCGAACAATGTTCTCAGTCTCTTTAGTGTTCGGTTTAGTCAGGTATCACTACAAGATTATTATAAATTGAACACCTCTGTAAACGAATCCACTTCCTCACTTTCATCAGCAAACTGAATACCTGAATACAGTGTTCAGTTCAAACAGGTTTCAATGCGATACACATTAAATTAAAAAGTTAAGGGGCCCATATGACATTTTCAAGAAATTTAAAAATTGAACAATTAAGGGGCCCATATGACATTTCAAGGAATGTAAAAATTGAATAATTAAGGGGCCCATATGACATCTTCAAGGAATGTAAAAATAGAATAATTAAGGGGCCCATATGACGTATTCAAGGAATGTAAAAATTGAACAATTAAGGGGCCCATATGACATTTCAAGGAATGTAAAAATTGAATAATTAAGGGGCCCATATGACAGACATCTTCAAGGAATGTAAAAATAGAATAATTAAGGGGCCCATATGACATATTCAAGAAATGTAAAAATTGAACAATTAAGGGGCCCATATGACATTTCAAGGAATGTAAAAATTGAACAATTAAGGGGCCCATATGACATTTCAAGGAATGTAAAAATTGAACAATTAAGGGGCCCATATGA